TTTTCTGACTTTTTCCAAAGTAGAGGTGTGAAAACACCCTGCTGAAACGAGGGGGTTTCATGGCCCTTTAACTTGACTTGATCAGTAAGGCTGCTTCTGAAACCGCATACTTTCATACTATTTAGTACTGTAAAATCAGTATGCAAGCCGAGTAGAATGTCAGAATTCATAGAATTTGAAAATTAGTATGCAAGAAGTACCCGGATGACTTACTACTTCCGGCGAGATTCTAGAGTGGGTATTCCATGCACGCTGCGCTATGCCATAATGTCCCGCAAGAGAGTTCATGAATGGAAGTGAAGTGACGCAACTGACGCAGGTAGGGCACATGACCATAACAAAATGGCGGATGTAGTACATCCGAATTCCATTTATACTCTTCACCTTCATACTGTATAGAACATTCTTTTCTAACAGCCGAGTAGTACGGGTAAATTCAAATGCAGTACCTACTGAGTAGTAGGCGGTTTCGGATGCAGCCTAAATAATTCAAAAAGGGTGCCTTAAAACAAAGTGCGTTCAGTGTGATCAGCCCCTTAGTGTGCCTCACGCAAGTGAGTGGGCTTGACAGACCACCAGTAGGACACACTCTTTCTATATTCTAGGAGGGAGGAGGAATAAAACCTTTTTTTTATTAAACTAACTTAGGCTTGTCATAGCATTCATATACTGCTACTCTCTGATGATTTGAAGCTCTTATATCCTCACTTATAAGTCGCTTTGAATAAACGCATCTTCTAAATAAGTGTAAAGTATTCAACAGCCATGCAGTATAAACGTGTAACAATACTGCAGAAAGTATTGATTATCTGAGGAAGGACATTTGATTCAATTTTCAATGTTTGAACTGTGAGAAGAAAGGTTTTAAAAACACTTCACTCATTGTTTACAATGTAATGAAAGTTACTTCTACAATTCACGCAAAGCACCATGGGGTGTAGAAGAAAGGTGGATATCTATGATTTCTATTTTCATCGTCTGCTAGCAATAGTTACATGCTATCTGGTAAAACACTTATGCTTGACTTATCAGGCGTTGCTTCAAATGGTGATAAGAGCTAAATTATTTACGCAGTGTTCAGTCCACGCTAAATCAAGTTAGCATCGACAGTCAAATAGCCTAATACTATAATAACACACGTATCCTTCACTTACTGTAACTGAACCTGCCTTAATGCGTCTCAAAGCAATTTAGCTCAGTTTGAGATAAAAACAAAGGTCGTCACCAGAACTGTCATCACAGCGGGTCTGTCAAAAAAGCAGTCAGAGAGCGAGAGAGTTAGCGATACGCGGCCGCATGACTCAATGGGGGTTTGGCCTATATTAAGCACAGTGAGTCAGAGACGGTGATCACATCCGCACACACATCAAGTCAAGCGACAGAAATCACACGCATACAAAGCTTTACAGAAAAGCACTGAGGAGGCTCCATGTTACAGTGAAGGCATGGTGACACCATAGTATTTTGATGAGCATTGTGTTAAATGATTACCACATCCATTTCCAATGTAGATTTCACCAAAAAATGGTTTTATGATGATGGTTGATGTCCAAAACAATGGTATTTCAATTGTACATGCACAAAAACATGGCATTACTGTAAAAAAAAACACACACTACAACTGTACTGTATATATGCTAAAGCCAAGAATTATTAAGGTTAATCTATTAAATTATACATGCAGATTTAAAAAAAAACACTGAATACTGAAGCACATGTTCAGAATGAAACACTTATATCAACATTTATATACAAATACCATGGTATTGTTCTGAAAAAAGGGTAAAACCATATTATAAATCACACATCACATGTATAAGAAAACATGGTGTTAACAGTATTAACATATCCAAACTATGTTATTAAGACTGTACACAAACCAAAAAACATGGTATTACTATGGTAAATAATGACATTATCATGGTATTACAGTAGTACATCCATCAAAACATAAAATTACCATTGCACACACTCTAAACCACATAGTATTGTGATAGTAAATGCACAAAAACATTCAATCGATATGGCTAAAAACAAAAAAAGTAATCTTACTATTGTAATATAATGGTTTTGGGCATAAAAACACAACATTACCCAGGTATATAGTCAAAATTCATGGTAAAATAACTACGCATACACAAAAAAAAACCATGATATTATTGTGGTAATTGCCTAAAAACAGTTATTTAGCATATTCAAAAACCTTGTAATGTCTATGGTAATCCATCATCCATTGTGTTATAACTGTACATGTACAAAAACATGGTATTACTGTAAAACAAAACACAATATTACAACTGTACTGTAAACATGCTAAAGGCAAGGATTACTGTGGTTAATCTAGTAAATTATACATGTAGATTTAAAAACAAAACAATAAAAATAAAGAAACAAATGTTCAGAAACGCTTACATCAACATTTATATACAAATACCATGGTACTATTCTGAAAAATGGGCAAAACCCATGATATTATAATAACACATGTATAAGAAATCACGGTATTAACATGGAATAACAAGGTTTTAAGGGTATTAACCTTTCCAAATTATGTTATTGAGACTGTACACGTATCAGAAAACATGGTATTACTGTGGTTAATACCTAATGCCATGACATTATCATGGAATTACAGTAGTATATTCATCAAAACATAAAATTACAATTGGACACACTCTAAACAACTCTGTATTATGGTGGTAAATGTGCAAGAACATACAATTAGCATTGACGTTAACAAAAACGTAAATGTAGTATTGTAATAAAATGGTTTTGGGCATAAAAACATAACATTACCCTGGGATATAGTCATTTCACGATGAAATAACTACGCATACACAAAAAAACATGATATTAGTGTGGTAATAGCCTAAAAACATCGCTATTTTCAAAAAACCTTTTAATGTCTGTAGTAATTTATTCTCCAAAAGCATTGTGTTATAACTGCACATGTACAAAAACATGATTTCACTGTGGTAAATGTATTTAAATATATGGTTTTGTACATGTAAATGCTAAATATACATTTACTCTACTTTGTTATTTTCCATGGCACCGCACAAACACTACAGTTTAACCATGGCAAACATCCAAACAACCATAGCATGACATTGACTTCAGTCATCTGGTCAACAAGACAGATGGCTTTGTGCCTAGAGACGACACACTCACACACACGTGCAGCTCACAATCAAACGACAATGCTGCCAAGTCATACTCTGACAAATTCAAGCTACTTTAACTCAGTTTCATCACCACAATCTGAAATGATGCTAAATTAGCATACAAGCAAAAACTGAAGTAGTAAAAATCAACTAGCGGAACTAAATCCACCGCAAAGTTCCATCTAGAGCTAAACACGATAGCACAGAAAATTTGATTAGTGTTCCACTATTCGTGTATAAAATGGACAACAACTGAGCTACTACTACAAAGCAAATCACCAATATTGTTGCTGTTGATGGCAAAACTACAACAGTAAACATGGTATTACCTCAAAACATTGTATTAGCATTGTTTATATTCACAAATCATGGTGTTACTGAGGCAAATGTCTTAAAATGTGATACTATCATTGTAAATATCCCCAAAAAACAATAGAAGCCACTACAAAGCTACCACTCAAACCATGACTCTCAAATTCAATGCAAAACTACAAAAGTAAACATGGTATTACCATGGTAAAGGTCTCAAAACATGGTATTAGCATCGTTTACATTAACAAATCATGGTGTTACTGTGGCAAATGTCTTAATGTGATATTATCATTGTAAATATCCCCAAAAAATAATAGAAGCCACTACAAAGCTACCACCCAAACCATAGCTCTCAAATTCAATGGCAAAACTACAACAGTAAACATGGTATTACAGTGTTGAATGTCATCATACACATCGTATTAGCATTTTCTATATTCACAAATCATGAGGTTACATGATGTCATTTGCATGATGCAAATGTCTTAATATGTGATATTATCATTGTAAATATCCCAAACAATAATAGTGTTACTGTGATAAATACCTCAAAGTATTAGCATTAGCATTGTATTAGCAGAATTAGATCCAAAAAACACAGTATTTCTTTGGTATAAGTACTGATGCTATTTCAACGCAGTGGTTTTGGACGTAAAAATATGGTATCAATGTTTTAAAAATTCAAAGACTTGTACAAAAAAAACATGGCACACGAAGCATTCAACCTTTTCAAATTCAATTGCAACACTACAAAAGTAAACATGGCATAGCATCTCAAAACATAGTATTAGCCTTGAATATAATCCCAAATCACAGCGATACTGTGATAAACACCTCAAAATTATAGCTTTAGCATTTTCTTAGATGTGTTAGCATTGCTTAGCTCCAAAAGCCATTGTATTTCTTTGTGTTATAATAGTATATGTACTTTTACCAATGGTCCAGAAACACAGTGGTTCTACTTGGCTAAATTAAGTATGGTATACTTATATTGCTAGCATATATTAACTATAAATGCAATAAGAAAAATTACATTACTCAGGCAAACTTATCAAACCATGGTATTACCATTGTAAATATCCAAAAGTCATAGTATTTCTGTGGTAAATACCTCAAAGCATTAGTATTAGCATTGTATTACTATTACAACAATGGTTTTGGACAAGAAAATGAGGTATAATTGTGGTAAAATTTCAAAGATGTGGCATTATAAATACAAAACGGGCAACACTACAAAGCTACCACCCCATACTACAGCCCACAATGGCGACAAACAGTCATTAATCATCTTGAAGCTGAAGGAAAAATCAATGGGACCCAATAAAGAGTGCAGAAACTGTGAAAGAAAACCATGTTTGTGTGTGTGTGATGCATAAAAGAGTGTGTGTCGTTACGTGTAAAGAGTGTTGTGTTTAAACGGCAGGCGGTCAAGGAGAAACAGACGTGCTGAAGTGCTCGCTAGCGAGATTGGCAGAGAACCTTTGAGCACAGAGAGTGAATTATGAACAGAAACAGCATCTGTACCTGCCACGTTGACTTTCTCAGGGTTGACTGGGTTTGGTCCGGGAGTCCCGGTGCCGTTGGTCAGGTTGGCGCTGGTGCCATTGTACATGATATTGTCCACTTTAGACTCCAGCTTGGACAATCTCTGCATTATGTTGTCCAGAAGAACAGCTAGAGTCTTCTTCAGAT